TTCTCGCCCCAGCGCGGGCCTCTTTCTCGCGCGCCCATCCGCCCGCCACCACCGCGCCGCACCACCACCACCACACCACCACCACCACCATCACAACCACCACCAGCACCACCACCAGCAGCACCAGCAGCAGCACCAGCAGCAGCACCACCACCACCACCACCACCACCACAACCACGCGCACACGCACGCACGCACGCACGCACGCGCACCACCACCCACTACGCACGCGCGCGCGGAGCCACAGGTCCGCTACGACACGCGTCCGCGGATAGAGAAAATCAGCGCCATGGTAAGGGATGGGAGGGAGGGGTAGGACGTCAGATATGACGCGAGCGCACCTAGCTTGCCCCTCCCCCCCTCCCCCCTCCCCCCTCCCCCCTCCCCCCCCTCCCCCCTCCCTCCTCCCTCCTCCCTCCCCCCTCCCTCCTCCCTCCTCCCCTCCCTCCCCCCTCCCCCCTCCGCCCTCCTCCCTCCTACTCCTCTCTCCTCCTCCTCCTCCTCCTCCTCCTCCTCCTCCTCCGATGGGGTCAGCGGAGGTGGGGTCCCCAGACCTCCTCGCGTCGTGAAAAAATCACGACGGGAGGTGATGCGCTCTTTCCGCCCTCTGGAGGCCCCTGCCGGGCCTCGGGGGCGTCAGAAAACGAGTCAGGATTAAAAACCGGTCCCGGGGAAAGGATCGGGACGTCCAGGGACGCCGTCTTGAAAAAATCAGGACGTCGCATGTCTGGGGAGGTGGGGTCGGAGGATCATGTTGGCGGCCCCATTGAGCCTCCGCCTCCTCGATCCTCCTCTCGGCGACTCCGAAGGGCGTGGTTCGCCAAGGGTGTGGATTGAAACCCGCGCCAGAGGGGGGGCGGGCGAGGACCTCGACAGGGATCTCTGCCACGCCCCGACGAGGGCTCGTCACACCAGTGGCGCAGCGTGGGGGGGCCCTAAAGCCCAACGGGGCCGATCGCAAACCACACCCCAGCGTAACCACACCCATCGTATAGAGGACTCCTAGATGGGGTCCGAGTAGATGGGGTCGGGGGATCGCGCCGCATCGCCAATGCATCGGCGACACATCGGCGCCATCGTGGTGGAGAAAATCGGGCCCGACATCAAGCCGCATCGACGATGCCTCGGCGTTGCGGCGTGATCCTCCGACCCCATCTGCTCGGACCCCATCTGGGAGGCCAAGGTCGTAGTCCTCCTCCTCCTCCTCCTCCTCCACCTCCTCCTCCTCCTCCTCCTCCTTCCCCTCCTCCTCCTCCTCCTCCTCTTCTTCCTCCTCCTTCTCCTTCTCCTCCTCCGCCTCTTCATCCTTCGCCTCCTCCTCCTCCTCCATTCCTTTGCCTTCTACATAGCGTCTCCGTGTCGCACCCCGAGGCCATTTTTTTGGGCGAGCCGGGCGTTTCGCCTGAAGTTTCCTCACCACTTATGACCGTGAAGCTTAAAATTGTCAACAGTTTCACAGTCGGAGGGCGGGTCGATTTCGACTTGTGGCTCTCACCTTTCCGCCGCGCACATTCGTTTTGTAAATTTGAAAGAGCTTCACAGATGGAAGGCGGGTCGTTTTCAACATGTGGCTCTCGCCTTTGCGCCGCGCACATTCGTTTAACAATTTGCCGGAGTTTCACGGATTGAGGGAGGCTCCTATTGACCATGTGGCTCTCGCCTTAGCGCCGCGCACATTCGCTTTTTTTTAAATGTGAAAGAGTTTCACGGGTTCCCATGGTCAACAAACCAGAAATGGTGTTTGGAAAGGATTTAGGATTATGGGGGTGCAACAGTTACGCTGGTTCGCGGTGTTGAAGTCCCAGGAAAGATGTTCTGGCACAGTTCAAGATCGTCAAAACGCAACAGTTAAGTTGATCCGTGGCGTTGGAATCCCGAGAAAAAATCGTTGGCATGCTTCAGGCTGCTTCAGGGTCTTCAAACAGTTCTCCTCCAACGAGGCAGTTCCCCCAGTGGGAATGAACCATTGTAGTGGCCTGTGAAGAGGGAGCTTGGAGGAAGGGTTTCATCCAACATCGTTGATGACTTTTGAGCTTCCACTGTCCTCCTCCTCCTCCTCCTCCTCCTCCTCCTCGTCCTCCTCCTCCTCTCCTCCTCCTCCTCCTCCTCCTCCTCTCCTCCTCTCCCCCTCCCCCTCCCCCTCCCCCCTCCCCCCCCCCCCCTCGAGCCAGGGGGAGGCAGGGGGCCCGGCAGTGGCCGGCGCAGCCGCAGCTGCCCGCCGCCCCCCCCGTGCTCGCCGCGGGGGCCGCCTGCGGGGCCCCGTCGAGGGGCGCCGCCGCAGCGGACGCCGGCGGCGGAGCGCCGCGGGCCTTGCGCGAGAAGACTCTGTTGGAGAAAACACCCCAACAAAAACACACACACACACTGTGGGGAAAAAAATCCACACAACAAAACACACAAAAAAAACACTGTAGGGAAAAAAACATACAAACAACACAGAACAACACAAACACAAAAACACACACACACACACACACACACGGCTCGGCGGCGAGGGGGTGGGGGGAAGCGAGAAGGAGAAGGCCTTCTGAGAGGGCGGCGGGACTGCTCAGAAACCCTCGCGCCTTCTGAGAGGCCTTTCGCGTCCGGGGGGGAACGCTTCGAGAACTCCTCAGGAGGCCGGGGGACTTCCGAACCCTCTGAGAAGGCCATCTCCTTCTCACTTCCCCCTCGCTCGCTGCCGACAGTAGGAGCTCGACCACAAGAAACCTCCACATGACACCCAACCCTGACACCCCAGGACGTCCCTTGGTTTTTGGTGTGGGAGCGTCACGCTGTCCATGGCAGAACCAGCGAAACCCAAGAAACCCAGGGCTCCCTGGAGGCAAGCAGGGCGTGCTTCGACATGGATGTCCATTCTACGCGGGCCGCCAGCGAGGCACGTTGCAGTGGAAGCGAAGACGCTTACGAGCGACCTCACGCGGAAGGCCTGCGCGCGAATGTCGGCGCAGTCGACCTCGTTCTCTTCCGTCGCCCAGACGTCGGCGGCGCAACGAAGCGGGTCTTGCGCGAGAAGGCACAGCGAGCTTGGGGTCGCCCGCGTGGCACACGGCGCGGAGACGAAGGCGCTCACACGAGCCCCTGCGCGGCAAGCTTACGCGCGAATGTCCACGCAGTTGGCTACGCGTGCCTCCGCCGTGCAGGCTGGGTCGGAGGATCACGCCGCAGCGCAGATTCGGCGGTGGACAAACCTCCCATTAGCAAATGGAAACGGGCTGGGACCAAAACCGACGGACCTGGACCCGCAAAAATGACGGCCGCGACGCCCTCTCGCGAACCGAAAACGGCCAGTTGCGTCAGGGATAGGGGGTCGTTTCTGCAAATGCATCAAACCGAACCGCCCGGATGGATTATCCCTAATGCGAAGACGGGGACCTCAGCGACGCCGCGTCCTCATCGCGTCATTAGGGTTAGGGCTTCTTTTGTGCTCGTGAGCAGGGACCGACCGTCCCCGCATCTCTATAGGCCTACCACGACATGTTATTAGAACCCAAGAATGTTCTAAGAACAAAAACAATGCTCTTAGAATATTCAACCCGACGTGTACAAACAAGACTGTCCCAGCCAGAAAAATGTTCTAAGAACATGTCGTGGAAACCACAAAAAATGTTCTTAGAACATTATTCGGTAGGCCTACAGGCACGCCATGGGAGGCCCGGAAATTGGCACCAACACCAACACAGGGGGCTGCCTCCACAGGGGGAAGATGGTGGTAATATTTCGGTCACTTTGGGAGCCAGAATATTACCACCATCACCGAGATCGGGATCCTCTTCCCTCGGTGGAGAAACACCGCCGATATTGGTGTTGGTGTCGACCTCTAGGCCTGCGACGCCAGGACGCTTGGCCACTGCTTCAGACACCAGCCACGGGACCGCTTTGTCGCTCCACGTCGTCTGGCGACGGGCCCGGGGCCCGAGCACGGCCCCCGGGCGCCGACGGCTACCCAGCAGCGATGCCGGCGCCACCTCTCTGCCGAACCGTCCGAGGGCCCGGAGGCTTCCGGGGGAGGAGCTGCCAAGAGTCGGGGATGGACAGACCCCCCTTTAGCACAACGTGGTTTAGTGAAAACGACCTGAGGCCCAAACCTGGCGGGCGCAAACCTGGAAAATGACGGCCACGGCGCCCTCTGGAGAACCGAAAACGGACAATTCACTAATCGACGTGTCACTGTTGGGGGTTCTGTCCAGCCCCGAAAGAGCATCGATCCTCGATCCCACAGTTGGCGGCCTAAAAATTGGCACCAATGCCAACACAGGGGGTTGCCTCCGCAGGGGGAAGACGATCCCAGATTTCGGTGTTGGTGGTAATAGTTTGGCCACCTTGGAAGCCAGAATATTACCACCATCACCGAGGTCGGGATCTTCTTCCCTCGGTGGAGGCACACCGCCGATCTTGGTGTTGGTGTCAACTTCTGGGCCTCCGACACAGCACGCGGGACGGAGAAGACAGGACGGCATGAGTTGGGCGTGGCTTAATGGGGGGGTCACAAATGGGGGGGTCAGAAAAGGTCCCCTTTCGTGCCCCTTTCGGGCCCCTCCGGAGCCCCAGGGGGCTCGTTTAGGTACCGTTTGGGTACCTTTTCGGACCACGCTCGCCACCCCCCCATTTATGACCCCCCCATTACGCGGCGCCCAAATGAGCACAAGCGTTCGAAGCTCCGGGTGGGCTCCTCGGATCGGCGCTGGGCCCCCCTCCCTGGCGCGCGGGGCGCCGCACAGGGGCAGCGCGCGGGAGGCGCCGCACAGGGGGGGGGCCCGGCGCCGGCCGTCGGAGCCCGCGCCGGAGCTCCGACGGTTCGCGTTCGTGCTGCTGTTATCCTCCTCCTCCTCCTCCTCCTCTTCCTCCTCCTCCTCTTCCTCCTCTTCCTCCTCTCCTCTTCCTCCTCCTTCCCCCTCCTCCTCCTCCTCCTCCTCCTCCTCCTCCTCCTCCTCCTCCTCCTCCTCCTCCTTCCCTTGCTTCTTCGCTGAGCGTTCCGCGCGCCCCCGGCTCGCGCAGTCCTCCGTGTTCGCGAGGCCGTCGACAAACTTCAGGTGGCGGGGGCACTGGGCGTCGCAGTACCCCGCACCGAATCGCGCCTGGCGGCGTCGCCGTGGCCGCCGGCTCGGGGGGGGGGCTCTACGGGGGGTCCTGGCACGCCTGGGCTCAAGGTCAGAAAGCGGCATCGGATCGGATCGGAGGCGGATCGGATCGCCAACCAGTCGCCCCGAATAGATTGCCAGCCTGGAACATGTCCCTGTCCCTGTGCTGGGCACCTCCTCATCACGATGCCAATCCTAGGGATTCCCCTATTTTTTGAGGGCGAATCCCTGAGATTGTCATCGCCTTTGGGCGTGTCAATCGTAGGGATAGGGATACGTTCGAGGAGGAGGAGGAGGAGGAGGAGGAGGAGGAGGAGGAGGAGGAGGGGGAGGAGGAGGAGGAGGAGGAGGAGGCTGGTGAATAGAGTCGACGTCGGATCGCCGCGCCCAGCGGCGGTTGGCCCCGGCCTGCGCCCGCGCATCGAGCCTCGAGTCGGAACCGCGCTGCCCCGGCCGGCGAATCAGATCGCATCGAATCGGATCGGGCAAGGGTCTGCAAGGGTCGGATCGGATCGGATCGGCGGCCGTGACAAAGGGGGTCTGGCGAATCGAATCGCATCGAATCGGATCGGACCGGCGAATCGAATCGCATCGAATCGAATCGAATCGGATCGGATCGGCGGCCGTGACAAAGGGGGTCTGGGGCAAGGGTCGGGGAGACGTAAGACTCGGGCACGGGGGGCTCGACGGGGCCACCATAGAAACGACGAGGCCCCATCTGGAATTCGACGCGGGCTCCCGCTGCAGACATCCCACGAAAACTGGAGCGTCAAAATCCAGGACGCGCTCGTCAAAAAAAAGTAAGCAAACCCGAGTTCCGGCTTACTCGGGTCTTGCGTTTCCCCGAAAGGGGACAGGAGGTGGAGGGAGAGGTGGGGGTGCTGGGACCCCGAGATCCGACGTCGCTGAGAAGTCGTCTCGACTGGGATCCCCTGAAGCAGAATACACAGAAACAACAACTACAACAACAACAACAACAATTACTAGCACGTGGGGACACTCCGTTCTCACCAGTGCCAGGGTTTTCATGGGAGGCGGGCAATACCCCCACTTTGTGGGGGGGCCGGTTCAAGCTCTACCAAATTTCCAAACGACTCTTCGCCACCACCCACACCCAGCTTCCCGCCCTATGACGTTCGGACACTTCACTTCGTGGCATGCGGACGACCGTGGCTACTATTCAGGGCCCCGCGGCCGACGACGACGGCGTGCGCGCGCGAAGAAAAAACGAATGTGTCCCGCATGGTATTATTTGACAGGGATGATGGCCCTGGCAGGTGCGCAACCGTTGTCGCAGAAGTTCGAAAAAGTTGCTCGCAAAAGCCCGTTTGACAGAAATGTTTAAAAAGTGTTGGGTTTCCTACGAATCCGCAAGAGCGCGCGGGATGAGATTTTGACATTTTTTTGTTGAAAAACCATTGGTTTTTTGATGTTTTTATGTTAAAATCGCTCCGAACACTAAGGTTTTGGAAGGATTTCGTCTTGCGCGCGCGAATGTCCACTTTACCTTATTTTTTGCAAGGGATTCTTGAAATTTGATTATATTAGAACAAGAAATGTCATTTTATATTGTTTTTTGCAAGGGAAAGCGGGATTAACAAAACAACCGGATCTGGATCACATCGTTTTGCCTGAGGCTTCCTCACGAAAATGATGAAAATGTGGCTGCGGCCTAGGCGCGGCGGGGGGGGCGTGCACCAGGGGTCCCAACAATAATTATTCTTTAGAAATAATAATGTTCAACAACAACAACAACAACAACAACAACAACAACAACAACAACAACAATCATTTTACCCGAACGCGTGGTGTTCTCCCCAGTGCCAGGGTTTTCATACGACACCAGGCAATACCCCCACTTCGTGGGGGGGCATTACAAGCTCTACCAAATATCCAAACGACTCTTCGCGACCACCCAAACCCAGCTTCCCGCCCTATGACGTTGGGACACTTCACTTCGTGGCGTGCGGACGACCGTGGCTACTACACTGGCGTGGGGTACACACCCACAGAACTTGGTCACTTATTCGGGGCGCGCATGTGCCCAGCATGGTGCAATTGTGCCATACAATACATAATACAGAGAGACGAATGTGTCCCGCATGGTATTATTTGACAGGGATGATGGCCCTGGCAGGTGCGCAACCGTTGTCGCAGAAGTTCGAAAAAGTTGCTCGCAAAAGCCCGTTTGACAGAAATGTTTAAAAAGTGTTGGGTTTCCTACGAATCCGCAAGAGCGCGCGGGATGAGATTTTGACATTTTTTTGTTGAAAAACCATTGGTTTTTTGATGTTTTTATGTTAAAATCGCTCCGAACACTAAGCTTTTGGAAGGATTTCGTCTTGCGCGCGCGAATGTCCACTTTACCTTATTTTTTGCAAGGGATTCTTGAAATTTGATTATATTTGAACAAGAAATTTCATTTTATAGTGTTTTTTGCAAGGGAAAACGGATTACAACAAAACAACCGGATCTTGATCAACTCGAATTACCTGAGGCTTCCTCACGAAAATGATGAAAACGTGGCTGCGGCCTAGGCGCGGCGGGGGGGGCGCGCACCAGGGGGCCCAACAATAATTATTCTTTAGAATTAATAATGTTCAACAACGACAACGACAACGACAACGACAACGACAACGACAACGACAACAACAACAAAACGCGACACAAAGTTATGTCCAATCGTGCGTGTTGGGTGAAGTCTTTTCGTTGTATTATCTGTCGGCGCAGACTCCATCGTGTTTTCGCCGGACAACTGTGCGCCCAGTTTTGTGTCCCTCCCTGTTGCGTATGATGTTGCGCGTGGTCTTGTGGTTTGCTGCCTGCTGCGCCGCTGTTGGTTTCTGGGTAAAAATGGTAAATGAGCTCCTTGTGGTATCCGCACACCACACCTATCGGAATGAAACCACAGAGGGAGAAACACTGCCAGAGCCCTGGCCCTCTCGTCTCCACTGCACTTCTCGAGCCGGATCGATCCGTGGAGGCCCTAGGGCCCGAAACCAAGTGAAACAGGAAGCGGCGCCCTTGGCACCAGCTGCGCGCACCGCCTCTCCATTAGAGCTAGAGCTCTGTCGCCCGCCAACGTGACAAAGACGGACCGACGGAACACAAACGACCACCGACAGACGACCGACAACCGAGAGGAGGGAGGACGAGGAAGGGTACAGTCCACCGCTCCTCCGAGGGAGCCCACTAGCCGTGAACGCCCTGTGAGCGGGTAGGGGCCAAGAGGGCACGAGGCCAGGAGGGGCACTGGGGCACTCCTCCAAATTTTCTAACCTCACAAAGCTGCGCCTTAGAGGTGGCGAAAAAGGCGGCGCATGGATCTCAAGGACGCGACGCGACGCCGCGGGTCCCACGGGACGCGCATGAGGATGGCGAGCATTGGATCGCTCGCCGCGCCCCCACGCCCACGTGCATTTCTCATAAATACGATTGAGGTCCCTCGCGCGGGCCAGGAAAACAGCGCACCTCTCGCCACCATCAGCGGCTTCCCAATGGTGATGATGATGCTGGTGACGACGAGGGGCGACCATCCCAACTGTTCTGTTTTTCGAGATACCGCCCAATATTGCCCCCGCCCCCCTGTCGTCACGTTACGACGCGCGCTGGCGCCGTCTGGGAATTTGCCGCCCCTAAGCATTCCCAGAGGGCGCCAGCGCGAGTCGCGACGTCGGCGGCCCCCTCCACCCCCCGTGATCACGCCAAGTGCATCCAAGGGGCCCCCGAAAGGCCACAAAGAGGCCCGAGAGGTCCCGAGAGGCCTCCCACGAGTGTCCACGGCCCAGGCACGGTGGATGGGACGGAGACTCGAAAAAGAGGTTGCAATCGCATGGTGAGTAGAACGCAAGAAAGGGAACTTGCGATGGTGGTGGTGCTCTGGGATGGAGAGAGGCCCGGTTCTCCTCCTGGCCCACCGCGAATCGAGCACCGCTGGTGACACTGACGCAACGGGCGGCGCCACCCTAATCCAAACCGGCAGCGAATCATGCAAAAAAGGCCATCCCCCGGAGCCCCCCCATTCAAAGTCGAAGCGGGGGAACGCTGCATGAGTGCTGCCGCCCTGGTACGTCCTCAAAGCGACGCTTGAACTAAAGGTCGGTAACCGGCGAATCCAGGCCACCGAAAAGGCGCGTAAAATAAACAAGCGGTGCAAGATGGAGTCGCGTTGCCATGCGTCCACTACGCCAGGGGCTATAGCTGGCAAAAAACAACGACCATATAACATGATGTTTCAGAACGGGCACACAGCCGGTCCAGCATCGTGCCCAGAGGCGGCCGATCAAAGCTGACACCTGACTGGCAAAGCAAAAACAATCGATGACAGCTGCAGTTCCGCGCCTACGCGTCGGCGTCGAACGCCGACTCTGCGCCCATTTGGCAGGACGTCGCGATTCAGCGAAGACTCAGCCCGGGACCCGCAAGAAGACCCCCTCTATACACTGCGCCACTGCAAACGGGAAACCCACCAGACAACAAGGGCCCACTAGCAAGGCACATGAGCAGCCACATCGGTTTCCGTAGGTGCACGGGAAGTGTCGCCACCGCGGCATGGCGAGCACGTATTGACTTCGTGGTTATAACTCAGAATACCCACCATAGCATGCAGTCGGAGATCACGGCCAATGACCCCCTTTGCATGTCCGCCGGCGGCCATGTCGCGAGTAGCGCATCATTGAACATTATTGAAGATGATGCCGAGGTCCATGATCTCTCGTATCCTGCTGGAATCTCCCAAGAGACAAGAGCGGTAGGACCTCTGCCAGCATGAACCTTGCATGGTGACCTGGCGAGCTGCCCGATGCCGCAGCGGGGAATGTCGGCAACTGCGCGGCTGCACGACCTTGAAATTCCGCGCTGTTATGCAGCCGAAGATGAGGCAGCCCTGAGTGCGATGATAGCGACGACAGCACGTGGCCACTTTTGTTCGCGAATTCGGCCGCTCTCGCGAGTTCCTTGTTGCAGGGCAGACAGTGTTCACACTTGCCATTGCAGCA